TTAGCACCATTTAGTGTCCCAGAATTCACCAGAGTAAACATTGCTATAGCAAAAAATTACTGCAAATGGTTGAACCTAACAATAGAAAATCCCCAGTAGGGCCATTTAGGCCTCAGCTGCAGCTGTGCTTAACTGTATTTCATACTGGAAAGCTGAGATTAACAGGAAAATCAGGCTCTGCCATGGTGTGCAGATGTGGCTGCAACTGTCTTAATTTATTCAGCAAACATTTGTTCAGGGCCTCCTGCATGCCAAACTGTGCGCTGGCCACTGGGATTCGAGGGATAAATTGTACCTGGCACAGTTAAGGAACTTCCATTTGAGGGGAAGAGGCAGGTGTGACTGAGAGCATTCTGAGAGCTAGAGGTATGCACTGGGCCAAAGGACAGGGAGTAACAGCCTCACTTCCCAGGCTATTCTGATGTGTGTGGATATGTATCGTGGACCATGGCGACGGGTGTGAAGAGAGACTGTGAGACACACTGAGGTGCAGGACTTTTCTTGAGTTTGATAAAGCTTGCTTCACCCTTATAACACGAGAAAAGGAGCCGGTTTAGCAAAGGAATGGCTTATGTTAAAATACTGATAAAGGACGTATGCATGGAGGCCCACGGAATCACACTTGCAAGACAACAGCTTAGTGGCTATTTGGTTACCAGATAGAGACGTGGTGGGGCTTCGGGCCATGTCACCACAGTAATGTTGGCACCACCAGCAGCAATAGCAAAGATGATCTCTTTTGACTGTCTATCATGTGCTGTGTCTTTCTATTAAATGCTTTCCAGGCACCATGTAATTTAACAGTGACATCTTGTCTTGGTAAGGAATTGTTTTTGTTTGTTTTCTTTTGCTCTTCATTTGACAGATGAAGCAATCAAAACTTTGATCTAGAAGGTTACTTCAAATCTCACAGGCAGCATTTGAACTCAGATCTGTGACCACACAACCAGGATTCTTTCATTGGTCCCCACTTTGCCAGCATCCTATATTTGAAAGCTTATGTTCCTTCAGTGAAATGCAGGCTAATCCTACAGGTCCTGTGTGTGCTCCAGGATCTGATATGTCTGCATGCCGGTCTTCCTACCAACAAGAAGTAGAGTTTACCAAAGGATGCTGCCTGACAGGGCCATTTAATAAAATGTCTCTGTTCCAGTGCGTGTCTCAAGGAAGTGTGAGAAGCAGTGGAGGTGGAATGGTTTGGGAGATTGGGGAGACTCCAGGTCAGTAAGGTTAGTGTGAGAAAACCTGTGACAGAGAACATTCCAGAACCCTAGAGGACTCTGACACCTTTCTTCCCTTGCAGAAAATGCAACTTTCATTCTTTTTAGAAACACTGAAATGATTTTTAGTGACTATATTTTCTGGCTCTTGGTTTTGTAAGAAAGAAAGCTTGAAACATCAGGCAGGTCCTAAAGCCCAGGAGAAGACTTGTCATCCTACTGAACACATCTGAGACTTAAGGGAAAGAAAAATTGTCCAGATTGGACTTTCAAGAGTCCCTCTTTTATAATCCCCTAAGCACTGGGTTCCTGCTTCCTGGTCCTTCCAAGGAGACCTCCTCTCCTCCCCTCCCCTTGCTTGCTCAGGATGAGCGTACTTTGAGAAAAACAAAGACAGGAACTTCAGATCCTAGTAGACACATGTGCACAGCTTCAAAATGAAGGAAATGATAATCAAAGCTGCAGACGATCTCAGTGCAGCAGAATCATATACAAATCTTTGAAAGAAGTATATTCTTGATGTTTTCCCTCTTCAGAGTTTGCTTTTGTATATTGGCAATGGTATAGCATAGGAGTGTGGGTTTGGGGGATCTGCTATGTAATAGTGTCAACAACTTTACTAATGACCCTTGGGTGAACTCACTGAGTTCTTTTCTCCAAATTAACATGGCATATTCAGACCCAGGCATCTGGTTGCCAAATGTATATTGCCAGGCAAAACATTAGGTTTCAAAGGTTTCCTTTACTCCCCAACCTTTTAACAGGACCATCAGAAAGAAAAAGGTATTAATGGACAAGGCAAACAGAACCTAGGAAGGGATGCTCCCTGTTTGTCTGTCTTTATCCCAACAGCTGTCCTTGCCACATCTGAAATAGATTACACAGTGAGGGAAGAATGCCAAGAATCCAGTTGTTTTAGAGATTTTAAATTTGGTCAGTTGAAAAAGAGCTGGTTACTAGGTAACTAGGTGGTAGCAGCAGGTCTTTGTGGAGCTCTTTGTTTGGAGGGGGCACTGTGTCACTTTCTCCATCTTTCTCTACAAATAGCAGATTTGACCTAACTTTGGTGTTTACGACTTTGGGGCTAATCATTTGTTCCTTATCATTTATTTTACTTGCAGGGTAACCATAAAAATAACTAAGATTCTCAGTAAGATAAAGGAGTCAGAAGAATGCCTTAGTCTTCATCTGCCAAATGTAATTTTGTCAATCCAGATATTTAAGGTATTAAGTAGTAGCTGCATCCTTTACTCAAAGCTACTGACAGTAGAAATTTTGAATGATCAGCGAAAGGGAGTGATTGCACAGAGTTTTGTAAGACCCATGTTCTTCAAGGCTTATAATTAATAAGACTCAAGGCAGTAAAGGACACTCGAGACAGTGAAAAACCTACTTTGTCTTCAGGACACTTATAAGGCTGATTGGAAAGAGAACACTAGCAAATGGAAAGATGGGAGGAGAAATAATTTCAGCAGAGTTAGCTGTAATTTTGATTTGTGGAAGAGAGGAAGCTGGGGAAATAAAAAATGAAAGGATCTAGAATTCTTACTAACATATTTGCAGAGATAACTAAGATATCTATTTACCTATAGGCAAATCTAGTATCATAGACAAGTCCAAAACTATCCTGAGAAGTAAGAATTGCCTACAGTTTTGATTCTGATTGGAAATACCTGAAGGAATGCTACCTGTAATCAACAAGCTACATTGTTCAGCTGTGTTCCAGGGTTGGGGTTAAAGGTATTTGTAATGGTGCCTAAAGTTGCAAGCATATCCTTTACACTGTAGCATGACACTGTACTCTACAAAGTTCATGCTCAAGAAATGTGAAATTGAATTATCAAGAATCTCAAGAGAAAATTCATAATAGCTTAAGCTTATTATTTTGTATTGACCATTTATATAGCTGTTCTCCGCCTCAGAGAGCTGCATGTGCCTTGAGTAGGTGAGCACAGCTTAGACATACTTAGTAGACATTTGAGGTTGGTGTCTAAAGTATCCTAGATTTATAGACGCTAAACTGTTACATATGTTCAAAATGAGTGAGTCCCTAATACCAACCTCCTTTCCTTCCAGTCAAGATGTTTTTGATTTTACTTTCAAGAGAAAGATGGGGAAAGGACCAAATCTTCCTGTAGCCAGTTTGAAAACTTACTGTTCTACATGAAAGACCCTAACCTTATATCTGTAGACAAATGCCTGAGGTTGTGGTCTCTGTGCTAATAGCTTTGGTGTACATAAGATGAATCCAAGAGATGCTGAGTCTGTGTCACTGTCAGTGTCCACAGGTTTCTTAGCAGACACTGTCTACTTCTAGGCTCCATAACTAGAGAAATACTGAGGCACTAGGAAAGAAATCAGAGCATAGTATAAAGTTTACAGAGAAAGAAATTTGCACTTTTGACAAAATGCAAATTGTTATGTTTGGAAAGAAGTCTGAAGGCTATTAACTGATGGCCTTCCTGACTAGGAAAAATCCCTTGGAGGCGAATGACTAGATTTCCTTCCTGCCAAGCACAGGTAAAAGGGTGGAACACATCTCCCACAGTGACTAGGGGAGTGTAGCATACAGGAAAGGAAGAGGGGCAGTCAGAAGCCAAGACGAGGAATCCATCACCCCATTGTTGATGGAGGCTTGATTGAAGGTATTGTGAATTCCTATCTCCACTTTATATGTTGAAGAGCTATAGCCTGAAGGAGCAGGGATGAATTAAATGAGCTTTGTCTTTTTAACCCACAGAATCAGTGATTTATCCTCAAGTTACATAAGGTAAAGATGTCAGGCAATTATTTTGAATTATAGCCTCATAGCCTGGCGCTGCCGAAGGAGTTACTTTCCAATAATGTTGAGGAAGTCAGTGACAAAGGCACACATTTATTTCAGAGGTCATGAACTCAAATACCTACAGGGTCCTGCTCGCCTTAACAGCAGAACAACAGCAGGCCACTGCAGCAGACATGGTCTCATGATGTGCTCAGACTTGGGCTGTCTGAGAAAAAGCTGTCTAAAACTTAGATGAATTTTTTCAGGCTAACAAAATAGTTTTATCACAGTCCTCTGCAGGTATCAGGCAGCACGTGTGTAGTTAGAAGCCCCGGGTTTGTCCTTTAGCTTACCAGTTTATTGCCTCTGTAATTAACAAACACAACTGATTGAACTCTGCAGTTGAGGAGAGTCAATTTGCTAAGCTTTGAAGGCTTCATTAAGGCTTTGCCGGCTCTGTGAAGTGCTGACCTCTGATTCCTTCCTCTTTGCTCCTGATATTAGACTGCTTATTTACACAGGAAGTAGGAATTTAAAGACATCACTGGTTTTTTAGGCTATTGAGGTGACTCAGAAGGTAAAGGAGTCTGCCACTGGGCCCACATGGTTGAAGGAGAGAACGGACTCTCACAAATTGCTCTCTGACCTCTGCATATGTGCTATGGCATGTGTATGCCTACACATGTGTACCCACACAGAAGTAAATGTAACAAAGAAGGCATTTGTCCCCTTTAGGCACATGATCTTATGTAGCGAAGCTGTCAAATACTCAGAGTGAGAAACAGCTCTTGGTCCCGCTGTCGTTCTCCTTTAAAATGCACATGTCTGTATGGTCTACACTTGGTCATTTGGATCTTTGCACTAACATTTGTTTGTAACGTTGGGTGCATGAGGCATGCTAGATTTAAACATTAACACTTTCACCATTTGGTGACATGCTTATAAAAAAGATCGTTTTACTAACATCTCCATGTAGGATAAGGACAGTTGTATTTCTGCTTCCCCCTTCCTTTCAGACTGGAGAATATGCCACTGATGAAGAAGAGGATGAGGTTGGGCCCATCCTTCCTGGTGGTGACATGGCCATTGAAGTCTTTGAGCTCCCAGAGAACGAGGACATGTTTTCCCCATCTGACTTGGACACAACCAAGCTCAGTCACAAGTTCAAAGAGGTAAGCACTGGCCCACATGATATTTGCCTGGACCTCCTCCTTTTGTTGTTAAATGTTTTTGTTTGTAGAATGAACAGAGAATCACCTCTTTTCTGATTAAGACTCGGAATCTTAAATTTGCGAGTACACGTGTAACAGAATGCATTCTGCTGTCACCAACTTTAATGTTTGTCACCTATCACAGTGGCAGTTTATAGCTCTGAGCATCATTTCAGGATTTGTTCAAGTTACATGTATTATTTGTTACCTTTACAGATGCTTTGGTACCTGGTCGTGACCTCTTTCCTCTAGGGCAGTTACTTTTCTGAAAAATGCTTTTTATTTCTTTTCTTGAAGTAGATAGATTTTTAGTAAGAATGGCATGCCCAAAGGGCTCTATAAAAGAGTTCCATGAGCAGACTTAGAACAGTTCATAGAGCCACCAAGGAGTGGTGATCTGCCCAGGGACTGGTGCAAGCTGGAAGCCATCCTCCTCCTCCGGCCTAAAGAAGCCATCCAGTACCTACAGCTTTGCATGATGCAGCCTTGGTGGAAACTGCATCCAGGGCAAGGTGATGAAGGCCTCGTCCCTCCCACACCCTCTTCCTCCTGCCGAGTCCCTAGTTATGTCCAGGCAAGGAGGCTAAGCTAGGCTAGTTTTAGATCCAAAGAGATCAGTCTCCTGAAATAGAGAGCCACCCCCCCCCAAAAAAAAATATAAGGCCTGGAGAGCCCCTTTGGTGTGCTCATAGAGAACCAGATAGACTTTTCCTCCAAGTCTGGTGTTAAAAGATTCTCTTAATTACTTTAAGTAAAAACACCTATTTTGTTATCCAGTCCTGCAGAGCAGTCTTCTGAAGGGTTGGTTTCCCTCTGAGCAGAAGGCTTTGTCACTTTCCACAGTCGTTAGCATTGATGACCAATGGGGTAACTATCTTAATTGTGTATGTCCAGCATATCCTTCAATCATAGTCACCCCAGCTCATCTCCCCCGCCCGCCATTACCCTCAGACTGCATCCAGTTCTGTACCTCCACCCAGCTTTTATGTCCTCTCCTTTGGGGCCTCTGGGGCCTGCAGAGTCCAGTTGGTGTGGCCTGCTAGACTACAGACTGACTCTGTCTCAATCTTGAGCAGGTAACTAGCCATAGCAGCAACGGTGGTTCCGAGAGTGTGATGGCCCTGTCCTGTCCAGGTGACAGCATTTTACAGCATTCCTCTGGCTCTTAATTCTTCCTACTCCTTCTTCCTCAGTGCACCCTGAGCCCCGTTTGTGAGACGGGGATAGGTGCCCCATGTAGGGATTCGAACGCACTTACTAATTTTCTTTTTCTTTTTCTTGCCCTGGGGGACAACCTAGGGCCTTGAGCGCTGGTCATGAGCTCTACCGCTGACATCTGTCACATGCTCTAGTCCTGCTTTTCTCATTTAAAACTTGCTTTACTCTCAGCTTATTGCAGGACACTCAAATCATTTTGTTATTTACCTCTGAAGTTGTTTTATTGTAATCAAATTAATAAGTGGATATGTGGGGGAAACAGCATCTTCCCATACTACTAATCTCTTAATCCACATTTGTAAGTATAGCTACTTAAAGTGTTTCCTCTGACCTCTCAGAAGTCGCACAGACCTTTGCTTGGTGCATAGATGCCAAGCTATAAGAATGAGACACATGACTAAAAATAACTAAAAGTTGTTACAAAGATTAGTTTAGACTCATGAGTTGGGAATAGTCCCCATTTTTTTCAAACATGGCACGACTATGGCGTAACGATTTCTGAAAATAGGCGTTTCTGTTTCTGAAATTCTGTCATTATTGAGTAATAGAGTATAAATTTTTTGGAGAAAGCATTTTATTCATTTGAACTTTCTTATTAATAATTTTTATTCTGTGACAATTTCATATGCACGCGTAATGCATTCTGGTTACTCCTCCCACCCTTCACACTGATTTCCCATCAATCCCCCAGATTACCTTATTCCTTACAGATATCTTTCCTGTATTCACTAATTTTGTTTTGTTTTGTGTCCCAAGGGATTTAGCTAGGGCTCCATGTGACTCTAATTGAGAACTAACCATGGAGCCTGCTCTGCTCACCAGCGTCTATAGCTGTGTATTCTGACTCCCCCTCCCAGAATCTGTTAGGTGGCAGTAGGCCAGCAGTAACTAGCAGGGCTGGGAGCCCCTCTCCCTTCCTAGCTGACTGTGCTGATCTGTCAGTCTCCGAGAGGCATCTGTGTTAAAGTTACTGGCTGCCTTCTAAACATCTCTATAATTCTGTCACTTCTGATTTTCTGTACTTTATGATTGGTGTTAGCTGCAATTGACCGTCAGAATTGCTACAGTAACTTGATTCTTGTAATGGTATTCTGCTTCACATGATACACTTTACTCCAGTTCTATTTTGGTTAATAGTAAAACTTAACACAGGGTTTCTTTTGGTTAATAGTAAAATTCAACACAGGGTTCCTTTTCCCTTAAATTTGTTCATGGCATTTGAATTTCTGCTTACTTTTATCCATTTCATATAATTTTATTCAAATGTTTTCCTTTCAGTAGCCTATTCCTGAATCTTATTTTTTTAATAAATTATTGTGGGAGTCTTTGTCAGTTAATTAGTGAACGTAGTCCATTTATGTTTACAGCTATCAGGTTACTATTAGAATTTTTGTCTTTCCTCTTGGCTTATGTGTCTCATTTTTCCATATTTTCTTGTTTCATTTTTATTTTTCTACTTGTCCTCAGAACTATCAAAATTTCATCTGACGCCTAGAAGTTAATTATTTTCTTTTCTGACTAGTTTGACTCGGTTTTGTTTTCCTAGAAGCCAGATCAGTATCTGTGCTTTTAATCATTAGTAAAATAATGGCTATAGAATATCACCTATATCTCAAGAGTCTTGGGTGCCATGTATGCTGGCACGTGTACTTGCCACAGTGTGATTATTTCCGGCTCCCCTCCTGCCCTCGCTTTACTGTGAGCAGACTGTTGCAGTGTTAATTTACTCCGTTTCTACTGCCCCTTCCCTCCTGTCAGCACCAAAGGTTCCTGTCACATGGCCCGGCAGTTAAGTAGCAGTCAGGAGGTCATAGCTTCAGGGTGTGGAGCAGGCCAGCATGACTTACCACCAGGTGTGCACTTAGCAGGGATCTGTGGGAAAGGTGAGGCTCCACTCAATTACCGGCTCCTTCCTGGTTACTGGCATTCTCTGCAGCAGGCCTTCAGCTCTGCAACACCAGAACCCCTTCATGTGCTCTGTTTTTTAAGAAATTCTTTCACAAACTTTTTTTATTTTTTGATTAATGAATAGTAACCTGAGGCACATCCATGTCCTCTCTTAGGCAGATTCAAATTGCTTTCAAAGAGGAAGGGCATGGCTTTTTTTTATTTGTTAGTTTACTATGTTGAACCCAACCGAAAGTTTTCCCTTACCTGTCTCAGCCATTTCCGCCTTTATTTATTTATTAATACTGTCATCTGCTTTCCTGGGCGTGTTTACTTGTTCATGTGGCAACTTCTTAGAACTCAGGCTTAATTTATTGTCATCCTTCATTGTTGTAATAGGCAGCAGGAAAATTGAATCTGTTTAGGGCAGTGCCTTTTGCCCGGCCCCCACTTTATTAGCAGTCTTGCTGACTTCATTTTGGAAACAGTCTGTAATTTCCACTTTCCTTGTTTTATTTTTATTTTGACTTTGAATGATTTTGAATCTGTAACTTTTATATTAATATACCATTTTATTACACTCTGGTCAGATACTAAATTTTCAACTAAGTTCTTTGAAAATGATGTTTGTGTTGTAGGTTATTATGGATATTTGTGATTAACTTGATACGTTTAAAATGTTCTGAATCTTTATTAATTTTTCTTGAACCTATTAGGTAGACAATTTGTACCTCCATATTATTTTTTGTCTACTTTGATGATATGTTGAAATCACATGAAATATATCAATGACTTCCTTCTTTTTTTAGGCTATAATTTGATGTTAATATTTGACAGCCACTTTTGTTGTAGTATTAAGTGTGTACCTGTATCTAACAAAGCCATTTACTACATTTAAATATATACAGTGTTAGACTCTGTATCTCTTACTAAGAAAATTTCATCAATTTGAACTTGTAATATTATTGGTGGTATTTCTTACTACGCTTAGCTCACTTATGCTTTGTGTTTCTTATGTATCTGTTGGCTGTTACTCAGATTATCTTCAAGGGTTTAGAATGCATTTTTTTACATAATTTTAAAAGTCGAAAAATACCATTTGCATTCTCTGTGTGGCGATGTTTGATAAAATCTTGAGTTTTAAGAAAAATGAATATTTAATTTGTTATAATTTTAAAACATTTTAGATAGCTTTATAATATACTTGCAAATCCTGTATTCTTCTGTTTTTCCTTTAAAAGCATTATTCCTTATCCTTTTTTAATTTTTAATTTCTCAGATTGTCTCTGAGTAATTTATTAGGTGTTTATGGCAGATACAGTGTTTGTGAGCTTTTCATACCAAGAATGATGTCCTAATTATCGTGACACCATTATAATTGGCTAGGCTTGACATTTTGTTCATAATTTTTTTCCTGAAAATATTGCATGGTTAGCTTCCTTGCTTTAAGCATATATTATTTTAAAGGTCTGATATCAGCCTGGAGTCAGGTGCTTCTCTTGTCTCCAGGCTGTGCTTACTTCTTGCTACAGTTTCTGAGTGGTGGTCTTCCTTCCTAGTCCCCTACCCAAGAATGAGATGGAGAGGAGCCAGCACTCTGGGCTACAGCCTGAGTCCCTCCAGCTAACATAATGACTGGCTGTTTTAGATTTGCATTCTTTTATTGTCATTTTAGTCCATTATAAGCCTCTGTTTTAGTGGGGTTTGGGGGGGTGTTTTGTTTTATTTTGTGTTTTTGCTTAATTTTCTAAAAACCATCATCAGTACTTACTAGTTTTAAGCTGTTTTATCTCCTCTTGAGTCTGAGCGTCTCAGGCTCCTATTGTCTGTTTTGTGTCTTTAGATATGACTTTAAC